AGTGCAAAGTCCTCCGTGATGAGCTTCTTTGATTGAGTGTGCACTAAATGCAGGTAGCCTTTGCAACATTTAGTCTCCGGATGCACATCTGCATTAACACAAGTAACTACTTCTAATTAACTTTTCACCAATGGGGAGAGTGCTCATAGTATTCCCCACCAAAACTTGAACTTAAATTGTACCATGTTGACATTTATTATTGTTTCATGCGATTGGGTGTGTTGCTGATAGGGCCAGCATTTGTTGACTGCCCCAAATTGCTCTTGCTATGAGTGGACTGCTCAGCCATTTCAGAGGACAATTAAGAATCAACTGTATTGATGTGGGTCTGAAGTTAAACGTAGATCAGACTTGTTTCATAGCCCTGTCATAAAATAACCTCTGAGCAGACATGCTAGAGATACATGCAAACAATTGGGAATGGCGGACAGGAAAAGACAAAAACAAAGTGCTGGAAAAACTCAGCAGTGCAATATGACCTGCTAGTCTGTCAACTTGTTCCCTATAACAATAATGCCTTAAGGGTCTCTATACAGCCATGGGACCTCCTGGAAGAATTGCAATAACTAAAGAAATCCAGACTACTTAGGAATGAAAAGAAAAACAGTGGAATATTTCCCTTCAAATCGTCAAGCAAATGAAGCTCTCCTGGGCCAGTATGAAAACATAGCCTTACTGATAGAGAAGGAGGGCATAACCTCCATGTGACAGTTCAGTGGAAATGTTTATGGCTGGTATATCAGGAATTGTCACTTTCCAAATGCATGCATATCATCCACAGTTACATTCTAGCCGTCAGAATAAGGTGTGAGAGATGATCACAGACTGGAGGAGATAGCTGCAGAAGCAATGGTTTTACAGCAAGACTCAAGTTCTGAAAGACATTTTTAATTTCTTTACTATGAGAGACTGCTTATTTGAAAAAAGTGCTGAATCTGTTAATTTTCTCTTTTGAACCGTCCCCCAGTTGACCTTTGAGAGGCAGGTATCAATTATTTTATTTAAAAAAATTGATTTTGTAAGAATTTTGTAAGTTCAGAAAGTAGCATTGGTTGGAGGAGCCGTGACATTTACAAGACAGAATGTGAAGAGGACATTCAACGCATACAGTGCAACATATTGTGGACTTTGCAAGAAAAAGACTGTTTAATCCAAGGAAGTCATTTTGTTTGGACGTCCGGGATATATCATTCACAGGCAGTAAAAGATTAAAAAGGAAGTTATTCCCCACTGAGTGTTTATGTGCAACAGCAGTTAACTGTGTCAACAACTTTTACAAAGGGTTGCATGAATTTATTGCTGGAATGATTGGAAACATTACAGCTGAATAACACAAGATGACAATAGTCTCAACATTTGATTAACTTTGTGGAGCAGAGAAAAGCTTTACTGAACCTTTGCAACACTGATATGACATGCTCACCATATAGTAAAGATAACTTATTTTCCTTTATAGTGTTTGCAATGCTTTCCAAATCTTAATTCAGTCTTGACTACATCATTTGCAGTTAGAAATGACATAGGTGGCAAATGACCAGCGATTTCATTCAAATAGTTTTGCTTTCCTATTAGTTTTACAGGGCATTCTCTCGTCATGCCTTCTGACAACTGTGTTTCAATCTTTCATATCTGCAGAGAAACCTGGATTTAACAAGCTGCATAATTGGTTCTGGCCTCATGCAGTGCTATTAATATTTACTGTTGTTACCTGGTTATACAGTAAAGGGCTAGAGGAAAGATATTGGAGTAAACAAGTGCAGAGAATGAAGAATCATGCTGGATTTAAAATGTTAACTCTGTTTCTCTCTCCATAGATGCTGCCGGACCTACTGAGATTTTCCAGCATTCTCTGCTTTTGTTTCATTCTTTGTTCCAGATTTCCATCATCCACAGTATTTTGCTTTTATGAAAGTTTATAAAGTACTTGGCTTCATTTCTGTTAACAATGAATGGCTTGTATGACCGCTGTTCATTGTGCACAAACACACCCAGTTCCCTGTTCTCCCATCTGCGTCTTTTTACTGTTTTTGTGTGTCCACATTATTCTTGCCAAAGTGTTGCATTCTGAACCTAGTTTCGCTGCCAACTGTTCACCCTGTCTATGAGCCTATTCACCTCACTATTGCTTGTGGTAACAAGTTCCACATACACCCCACACCCTCATCTCCTGTCCCCTCACCCCACCCATCTAATTCCTGGCTCCTTTCTCCGTGTGTTAAACCTCAGACTCCAGGGAAACATGCACTTGCGGCCTAACAACTGAATTCCCTTGAGAAAGGTTCCAAGTTAATTGTATCAGAAATGCCTCATATCACTAACAGATTGAGAATTTCTGATGTTCTTGGTTGGACTCAGCTTTTAGTGTTATGCTCAAATCAGGCATCTATGGGAAAATGATACCAGTAGAATTTCAAAGCACTCTCCCTGCTCTGTTTATTGTCAAATATAGATGTCACCAGCAATCTGATGTGAGACAGTTACAACCGTTTCATGACTTCTTCAAGACAAAAACTCCAACTACATGGATAAAGTGGCTAAGCATTGGTTAGGCTGTAACTGGAATATTGTCTATTTTGGAATCCACATTAGAGAAGGGGAGTGATTGCACTGGAGAGGGTGCAGATTTACCAGGATGTTGCCTGGAATGGAGACCTTAAGTTGTTGAGAGAGTTTGGACAGACTAGGGTTGTTTTCCTCAGAATAGAGGAGACTGAAGGGGGTGGGGAGACTAATTGAGATTAATAAAACGATGAGGGTTATAGGCAGAAACATAGAATCATAGAAAATACCTTTCAGACGTACAATTCAATATGATCATGGCTGATCATCTTACTCAGTTACCTGTTCCTGCCCCATACCCTTTGATCTTTTGAGCTCTAGGATCAAGAGACATAGATTTAAAGTAAGGAGCGTATGATTTCAATGGAATTGAGGAAATGTTTTTCAGCCAGACGGTGACAGTAATCTGGAACTCACTGTCAGGAAAAATGGTACAGATAGATGCACTTATAACGTTTAAGAAGTATTTAGATGTGCATTTGCAATGCCAAGGCATACAAGGCTATGGGCCAAGTTATAGAGTCATACAGCACGGAAATAGACACTTCGGTCCAACCAGTCCATGCTGAATATAATCCCAAACTAAACTAGTCCCAACTGCCTACTCCTGGACCATATACCTCCAAACCTTTTCATTTCATGTACTTAGCCAAATGTCTTTTAAACGGTGTAACTATATCCGCATCCACTACTCCCTCAGGAAGATCATTCCACACATGATCCCACCCTTTGTGTAAAAAAAAATTGCCCCTTTTGTCTTTTTTAAATTTCTCTCCCCTCACCTTTAAAAATGTGCCCCCTAGTCTTGAAAACCCCCATTCTGGGGAAAAGACAACTATCATTACCTCTACCTATATCCCTCATTATTTTGTAAACTTCTATAAGGTCATATCTCAACCTCCTATGCTCCAGTGAAGAACGTCCCAGCCTATCCAGCCTTTCTTTATAACTCAAACCTTCCATACCCGGCAACATCCTGGTAAATCCAATCTGAACGATTGGAAAATAGAATTAGAATTGTTTTTGGCTCAGCATTTTTCTGTGCCGCAGGCCTCTATGATTAAAGCATGAGCTGTTTGGGTTGGAGTTGGTGTTCTGACCTTCAGTTCCAGACACAAAAATTTAATGAAGACTGACAAGTCTTAGTCGTCTGTGTGTATCAACTTCATAGGCACAGTATTGGCTGAAAAGAGTCTCTCAGGATTGAGGTTCTGATTGGTGCTTTGGAAAATGCTTATCTTAAATGTGTTGCAATTCCAAAGTTCCACCACTATCCATGTTGACCCACATCACCATGTCTGATTGACAGATTGATAAAGATCAACAATGTAAAGGAATCTGGAGGTAGCGAGGGCTAAAGACACTGAAGTGATGATCAGCGATCATCTTATTGAATAGTGAAGCAGGCTAGACAGCCTGAATGTCTTTTTCTGGCTCTTACAATCACCCTTACATTTCTCAGTCATTCAGAACTCTGAAGAAAGTACAATTGTACTAAATGCTGCATGCGATGTAACAAACTATTTTTGCCCAATCAGCACTGCTCACAGTTGTGGTGTTGTTCAAAGCTCTGTGCTTTTTAATATAGATAACAAGGTGTAGAGCTGGATGAACATAGCAGGCCAGGCAGCATCAGAGGAGCAGGAAAGCTGATGTTTCAGGTCTGGACCCTTCAGAAATTTCTGAAGAAGGGTCCAGGCCCGAAACGTCAGCTTTCCTGCTCCTCTGATGCTGCCTGGCCTGCTGTGTTCATTCAGCTCTACACCTTGTTATCTCAGACTCCAGCATAGGCAGTTCCTACTATCTCTGAGTGCTTTTTAATGTAAGATTTTAGTCACGACCCACTTTGCGAGCGATTATGTATCTAGGCAGTAAACTGTCTCTGCCTCAGTCTTTTTTAAAAAAATCCCTCCGATCCCTCTCGCTGTTCATTTCAGACAGCATGACTTCCCACTGAGCTTTTATACCACAAGCCTGGTCTGTTTTGATGCCTTTGTGCTACAAAGATTAAAACAAAGATGCAGGGCAGCAGAATACGATAGGGACCAGACAAGTCCCAACCTTCTACCAAATCCAGCTTTTCCCAGTTCAGTTTTTAAAGGAACAATTTTTCATGGACTCTGCTGCTTGTAGGAGAATCCCAGTTCTGAGAGTTAGATTGTTTGATTAATTTAAGGTTTACGTTATTTCAAAAACAAAACGAGTATTCTGTTGCCAACAATCAGTAGTAGGCCAGTGCCTCTGTTTAATCTTGTTGTTGCCAATAAACCTGACAATTACATTTAGCGTGACGGTTTTGACGCATTGCTAGGAGACCCACAGTTCTGAGGATGAGGATCCACGCAAGGTGTGCGAGACGAGGGAATCCAAATCTTGACAGGGGTGTGGAGAGATCAGATTTTGAGGAGGTTTAGAGGCAAATAAGATTACGTTCAACCTGAAGCACCCTCCCCAAGACCACCCCCCCAACCCAGTCCCCAAATACCCATAGATGGTGGATATTTAGTGGAAGCTGCATTCTAGGAACGTGCGGCAATGACAGAGCGAATCCAGCGGAGGTAGCTGGACACGCGAGTGTACACCCCGTACCGTCCTGGCCGCGCGCACCCAGTCCCCCAGGAGACAATGCCCATCAGGTACCAGGCTCCTGAATGCTGGTGAGGGACTAGGAAGCCCCCACCTGTGTCCCCACCGCACGCATCCCTCCCGCCCTCTGGCAAGCCAGCACAGAACATATTGTCGGTGATTGGCGGGCGTGAACCCCCGATCCGTGCCTCGCGGAAAGCCTGCCTGCAGTGGTGCTGGCTGACCAACGGCAGTGGTACGTAGCGTAGCCAGTCGCGGATGAAGAAGCCCTCCTCAATCCCCCAGCCGGCCACGAAGCCCACGCTCCCAGGCCGGAGGAGGTTGCTCTCCTCGTGTCCCCCAGCCCCGCGCAGGGCGGGCAAACAGGCAGGCATGGCCGTCTCCTCCTCCTCACCCCCGCTCTTCCTCAGCTTAACCAGGGCGATGTCGTTGTCGAAATCGTGCAGCCTCTCCGCGAACCCTGGGTGCACCACGATCTCCTCAATTTCCCGGCTCTCCCCTGCCAGCAATGCCCGCAGGTTGGTGCTTCTCCCTGCTTGGCACGTCCGGACCTGGGTGGTGTTGATTTGATGGGACAGGTCTATCCGGCGGGCACCTTTCGGGTAGAAGACATGGGCAGCCGTCAGCACCCAGCCCCCGCCGATGAGGGTGCCTCCAGCCCTTCCCCGGCCCCTGGGCACTACCAGCACATGCCAAGGGAAGCTCCCTTCCTCTGCCAGCTTGCCGCCCAGGATCCGCTGCACGATTGTTGCTGGATTTGAAGGCCACCCACAGACTGTAAAATCGAGGAGAAGGAGAACGGGAGTCAGTGGCCGCAGTATGAGGGAGAGAAGATGAAAAAAAAAATGTGCTTGGTTTTTCATCAGGTGTCGTCATTGTACAGGGCTTGAGCACTTTTTTCTCCCATGCTCTCCCCAACCTCAACACACCAGGCCTTGTTATCACATGGGCTGCTATCACACACTACCCATTGTCAGCTACTAATAGTCCCCATTTGCGCAGTGGTAGAGTGGTGAGCGTAGCTTTCTTCTGAGCAGTTCATCTGGCTACAATTCCTGACCATCACAAGGTTCCAATGTTCTTGTAGTGCTGAACTTTTTAACTTATTTCTTTATTTTTCTGTTTCTGTAACTAAAATTTTGTCACTAGGTATTTTGCACCTAAGATAGCACCTTATGTGGTGACATTGTACACTTTTCACTAGACTCTTGTACCTCGTACTTAAGTACACGTGACAATAAAGCCTAAACCTAAAACCTAGCAGCTATATTTATTCCGCTGGACTGATGGTTATCCACTCCTTTGTCTGTCCAACTGTTAGTATCTCTCTTTGGACTCTATCTCCTGTTGTTTATGCTCCCCCACTCATCTTCTGTATTAAATCCATCCTTTTCCTCACTATCATCAGTTCTGAAGAAGGGTCACCGGACTTGAAACATTAACTCTGATTTCTCTCCACAGATGCTGCCAGACTTGCTGAGCTTTGCCAGCAATTTCTGTTTTTGTTTAGGATTTCCAGCATCAGCAGTTCTTTCAGTTTTTATTTTCACATTACATCTGTTTGGCTGAGAGCCCAGTCCAACGAGAACATCAACTCAGCAGGAAAATTGTTTTGAGGTGAATTGTTTACTTGGCTTGATTGAAACCTGTGAGCAGTTACGGTAAGTTACGTCTCAAACCATGACTGGGAGGAGTGTGCAGCAAGAAGGCATCGTTGTGAAGCAGACTGGGATGGTTATACAGCAGTCAGCATCACTGTGAAGCTGGAAGAGTGGATCTGATTGGGACATGGGGCCATAAATATGGGGAAGACTTTTCTAGTCTGTTGTCCATAAATGCTGTTCAGTTCTGTACAGTAGAATATCAAGGAAACAAGGAGTTTGACTCTATTCAAACAAACCAAAGGCATCTCTTCCTTGAGCAAGACTATATTTGCGTGGATTGAGGCACCAGGAGAGTCCGATAACTGGACAGACTCCTGTTTAACTTCAGACGGTGGTCTTTCCTCACTGTGCCTTGGTGGCAGCTGCCCCAGGCTTTCGTGTGTCCCTCAGCACGTAATCCTGCACCTTGAAATGTGCCAGTCTGCAACATTTGCATATACCAATAGTTTTTATGAATAAGGTCTATTTTCAAAGTTTAAAAAAAAAAGCAGCTTGTCGAAATGGAGCAAACCTGGGGCTAAACATGGCAGCATTGGAGCACCCGAATAAATATCTGAGGGGTGAGACCCGAATCAAGCTCAGTCTGAGCAATAGCTAAACTCTAACAGGGGCCATGTTCATAGCCAAATGGCTGACCAAAGTAACAACAGCGCAAATCAGTGATAAGTTCTTGTCCACTTTAAAACTGCATTATGATAAAGCAAAAGTTCTAGCTTCTTTTTAAAAGAAAACTCAATTCATTTCCTGAAACAGAAATGTCTGGCGAATCTCAGCAGGTCTGGCAACATCTGTGGGAAGAAAGTAGAGTGAATGCTTTGAGTCCAGTGACTCTTCATCAAAACTGATAGCAGCGAGGAAAGAGACAACACAGTGTGGAGCTGGAGGAACACAGCAGGCCAGGCAGCATCAGAGAAGCAGGAAAGTTGATGTTTCGGGTTGGGACCCTTCTTCAGAAATGAAGTGTTGTCTCTGACTCCAGCACCTGCAGTTCCTGCTATCTCACAGCCAGGAAAGAGTGGTGTTTATGCCAAAGCCGTGTGAGGTTGGGGGGGTAGGTGAGCATATAGGAGATGGAGTCCAGAGAGAGAAAGATATGGAGAGAAATGAAAAGTGTAGGTTAACAAGGAGATTATGGATAGCAGGCCAGGACAGAAAGAAATCTGAATAAGAGATAATCAGAGCTAAGAGTGAGAAAATGGGTGAGCTGGATATAACACATATAATGTGTTAATAGGCCGAGGAGTATGTGAGAATGAGTGACTGTACTGAAAGCAACCCACGTCATAGTAGGATAGGGTGCGGGGTGGATTTTAAAAAAAAATGGAAGAATGGAATGGAATCCTCAGGCTCTAAAGTTATTGAACTCAATGTCAAGTCGTAGAGGCTGTGGAAAATGAGATGTTGTTCTTTGAGCTTGTGCTGAGGCTTGCTGGAGCTCTGCAGCAGGCCAGCGACAGAGACGTTGGCGTGGGAACATGGTGATGTGTCGAAGTGGCATGCAACTGAAAGCTCAGGGTCATTTATGCGACAGAAGGTAGGTGTTCTACAAAGCAGTTGCCCAGTCTGTGTTTTGTCTCCCCTGTGTAGAGGAGGCAACATTGTGAGCAATGAAGGCAGTAGACTAGATTGAGTGAAGTGCAGGAAAATCGTTGCTTCACCTGGAAGGTGTGTCTGGGGCCTTGGATAGTGAAGAGGGAGGAACTAAATGGGCACCTTCTGTGATTGCATGGCAAAGTGCCGTAGGAGTTTGGTGAGGTGTGGATGAAGGTATCTCGGAAGGAACTGTCCTTGTAGAAGGCTGATAATGGAGGCAAGTGGAATATGTGCCTGGTCATGGCATCCCATTGGAGATGACAGAGATGGTGGCTTGTTATCTTGGGATATGGAGGCTGGTGGGGTAGGAAGTGAGAACCAGGGGAACCCTATCGCTGCAGTGGGAGGGAAGAGAAGGGGTGAGGGCAGAAGTGTGGGAGATGGATTGAGCGTGGCTAAGGGCCTTGTCAGCTATGGTGGTGGGCAATCTTTGAGTGAGGAAAAAGGTTGACATTTCTGAGGCGCCCTGCAGAAAGTGGCATCCTCGGATGTGATGGAGATGGAAAGACTGGGAGAATGGGATGGAGTCCTTGCAGGAAGCAGGGTGAGTCCAGGTAACTATGGGTGTCAGTGGATTTGTAGTGAACATCAGTGGCCAGCCTATTCCCAGACATGGAAACAAAGATGTCAAGGAAGGGAAGAGAAATGTCAGAGATCGACCAGGTGAAGATAGAGAGCAGGGCAGAAACTGAAAGTGAAATTTGTTTCAATTAATTTTCTACTTAGCTTCAATTTATCATAGAATCCCTACATCGTGGAAGCAGGCCATTTGGTCCATCAGGTCCACACCAACCCTTTGAAGAGTGTCCCACCCAGAACCATCCCCCCTGCCGTATCCCCATAACCTTGAATTTCCCGTGGCTAACCCACCTAAACTGCACATCTTTGGACTGTCTGTGGGAGGAAGTGGGAGCTTGCGAAGGAAATCTATCCAGACACAGAGAGTCGCCCGAGGGTGAAATTGAACTTGGGTCCCGGGCGCTGTGAGACAGCAGTGCTAACCACTGAGCCAAGTGTAGGAGTGTTTTTTTAAACTAAAGGTAAGGCAGGAGAGCTCAGACCCGCCTCTTGCACAAGCTGCAATATGTGGGAAATCTTCGATGCTCCTAGCAGTCTGGATGACCATACATGTAGGAAGTGCCAGCAGTTTGATCAGTATTTGGAACTTGAGTGTCAACGGGACACTTCACTGTGTCTGTGAAACTGAGCATTTTGTGGATAGCACATTTATAGACATGGTCACCGGGCAGCTTAAGAGAGGGAATGTGTGACCTTTAGTCAGGAGGAGGAAGGCAGGTAATGAGACAAACCCCATAGTGCATCTCACTCAAGAACAGTTGTTCTGCATTGGAAAATGATGACGGTGTTGGTTTCTCTGTGGCCCAGCTGCACAAGGAGGTAGCAGACGGAGGGGAAGAGCTGCAGCAGTATGAGACTCGATAGTAAAGGATACCGGTGTGTGTTTCTGTAGCCACAGGCATGACTCCAGGATGGTGTGGTGCGTCCCTGGGGCCCAGGGTCAAGGATGTCACTGAGCAAGAGCATTTAGGTGTGCAGTTGCAATGCCAAGGCATACAAGTCTATGGCCCAAGTGCTGGATTAGAATAGTTATGTGCTTGTTTTTGACTGGCAAGTGTTTGATATCCCAAAGGGCCTTTGGCTGTGCTGTAGACCTCTCTGACAATGAGGACTGCAAAACTTTCTGCACGAGGAGAGTGACCAATCAGAAGTTATGGTTCACATTATTACCAATAACATAGAAAAGGGGAGGAGGTGATGCATTCTGGACCTAGGGAACAAATTAAAAAACATGACGTCAAAGGTTTTAACCTCTGGGTTACACCAAATGACGCGTGCTGGTGAACGTAGGAATAAGCAGATACAGCAGGTGAGTGTGAGGTTGAAGAGTTAGTGCAGGAGGGAAGGATTTTGAATCCTGGGTTCATTTCTGGGGGAGGTGTGACTTGTACAAGTCTGACAGATGGCTCCTACACTGAAATAGGACAAATATCCATGCAACGGGTTTGCTAGTGCTGTTGGTGGGATTTTAAACTAATTTGGCAAGGGAAAAGGATACGGAATGCAAGTACAATAGGAGATGATGCACAGACTAATATGAAAGACAAAGGAAGTCAGTGTGACTCCCAGTCTGACTATTTAGTTGAGTTAAGACACAAGGGAGCTCAGCAAGGGTGGATAGTGTTTAGTTTAATGCAACGGTCACGTCAGCAAGTCAGATTAACACATGGCAATATGAGGTACCATTGCTATCGCAGAGACGTGGATGAGGGAGGGGTAAGGTTGGCAGCGTTAGGCAAAAAAGTCACGTAAAAGACTTTTACATGCAATATTGATCAAGGGGTCAATTACAGCAACAAGGAAGGATAATTTGTTAGAGAGCTCCTCAATTGAGGCCACCTGGGTGGAACTTTAAAACAAGAGTTGGACAGTCATATTGCTGGGAGTGTATTGTGGACTTCCAAACAATCAGGGAGAGCTAGAAGATTGGTTATGTCGGCAAGTTTCAGACAAGTGTAAAAGTAACAGTGTGGCAATAGTAGCTGACTTCAACTCCCAACCCCCCCACCCAATATTAACTGGGATAGGTAAGGTCACAGGAGTCCTACCAGATTATAACACTGCTGTCCCATTACAGAGACAGAAGTCACACGACACCAGGGTTATAGTCCAACAGGTTTATTTGAAATCACCAGCTTTCGAAGCGCTGCCCCTTCATCAGGTGAAATGAATTCACCTGATGAAGGAGCGAGACTCTGAAAGCTTGTGATTTTGAATAAACCTGTTGGACTATAACCTGGTGTCGAGTGACTTCTGACTTTTCCCACCCCAGTCCAACACCGGCATCTCCACATCACCATTACATAGAGAGAGAGGGATGACCGGTGGTGGTTTAGCTTGAGAGTCACCATGCCTCAGGCAGAGAGTGAGATTTAGAAGGAGAGTTCTCATGTTAACCTCAGCCGATAGACAAAGTAGGAAAGGCTGTGAGGGAGAGCCTGTTCAGTCAGCACAAAGAAAGTCCTACAAAACACATGGAACTTAATTTTAGGGATTGAGGCTGCAGAGTGGCACAGCGGGAGCGGGCTGTGCTCATAATCGAGGTCAATGGATCAAAGCAATCCTCCACCATTTGTGAACTCAATATTGCTGCCCCAGCCAGTGTCTTTCTGTGTTGGGCACTTCACTTTAAAAAAAGGGGCAGCGTGGTGGCTCAGTGGTTAGCACTGCTGCCTCACAGTGCCAGGGACCCAGGTTCGATTCCAGCCTTAGGCAACTATCTGTGTGGGCTTTCTGCCAAAGATGTGTAGGTTAAGTGGATTGGCCCTTCTAAATTGCCCATAGAGTTCAGGGATGTGCCCCTCCCTAATTGCCTGGAGGGCAGTTAAGTGTCTACCACATTGCTGTGGGTCTGGAGTCACATGCAGACCAGGTAAGGATGGCAGTTTCCTTCCTTAAAGGACATTAGTGAATCAGATGGGTTTTTTCTGACAATCGGCAATACATTCCAGATCTGCTGTGGTGGGATTTGAACCCAGGTCCCCAGAACATCATCTGGGTCTGTGGATTAACAGTCCAGTGATAATATCACTAGGCCATCACCTCCCTAAATAATTGCACTGGCCAGATGGGCAGAACAACGGCAAATGGAATTTAATCTAGAAACGTGTGAGATGACTACTATCAAGGCAAGGGATTTAAAAATACAGGTCAGTCCACCTCACCACTTGAAGGGGTGTTAAACCCAAACAGAAACTTTAAGACAGAAATGATCAAAAACAGAAAAGGTAAAATAGGGACAGGAAGGAAGAGAAAGATAGAGACAGAAAAAGACTGAGTGGGAAAAAGGGTCAAGAAGAAAGAGCAAGAAGTAAGAAGGACAGGGAGACAAAGAGAAAGAAAGATAAAGAAAAACTAGAAGGTTAGCAGAGACAGAGAGAGAAAGCAAATAAAATGGGAAAGAGGAACAAGTTGTGTGAGATAATAAGGAAGTGGACAGAGAGAGGGACAGACTGAACAGAGATTCTTGGACAGTGAGAGAGAGGGAGAAAATCAAAGAGCTAGCGAGAGAGAGGCGGGGAGAGAGACACAAAGATAGAGAAAAATTACCTTTTTCTCCAGAAGTTCCATTTCTTGTGTTTTCAGCAATTCCTTTGCACACTGTCCCTTTGGCACTCTGCTCCGTGACCCAGGGTTTCGTGGTTGTTTGGGGCTCACTGGCTGTTGGGCCCCCTGAGCTGCCGCTCGGTGACTGGGACATGGAATGGCCACATAGTAAAGGAAGCACCAGAACTAAGAGCCTAGAAGGGAGAGCACAGAGAGGTGACTGCATGCACTTCGCAGAGACAGTTGAGGTGGGGTGCAGGGAGATGGAAGCTCCAGGGCTTCGAGCTGATCTCAGAACCATGCACTCTAGCTGCTAATGCCTTTGTAGGATTCTCGGCATGACGGTTGGCCTATTGCAGCGTGGAAATTAAACCTAAATCCCTCCCAGTTAGTATTTACGCGCGTTAAACCAATTTTCAGAGACCAACGCTATTATCAATCTGATGTTTGGAGATTGGGCCTGGCTTTTGAATCTTAGTTGGAAATAAAGGCCAATGTTTGAGACCCAACGAGGTGTTTTGGCCCAATGTTTCACCTCTAGCATAAATTAAGGCTGAAGACAAGAGGAGATCAGCCTTTTCTCAGGACCCTGTAGGCACCTGGAAATCTGCAGGCTGAAGTGTCAGGGAGGGCCCTGTTAGCTATTAAACCTCAGGCTGCCCTAGGAGATTGGTGCCAGTACAAGTCAGGATTACACATCTCCAATGCACCAGCAGCTTGCGAGGCCTTTCAGAGCACATGTGGAAGCCTTCTGCGCTGATCCGCAATATAATGTTGAGATTTATTCATTTGTCACATGTACTAAGAATAGGAAGACGTAAGTACAGTGAAAAGGGCACAAAGTCACCATTCACTGGTGCCCACCTGGCTACAAAAACCAGAATTAAAAGATTTAACAGAGCCAAAAGGTAAGCAAGTAAAAAAGACTCCAGATCTTAGAGTCCCAAGTCCCATTTCCACAATGGTACAGGTGCCACTCCAATTGCTAGGCTACTGTTTCCTGTAACCTACCTATCTGACTGTAATGTTTATCCTTTTAACTTTATTTCTTATTTTCCAACTTATGCTATGAATCACTGTAAGGTAATGTAACCTTTATTTTCCTTACTTCTCTAAGATTTGTACCTAGGTACCTTTGTACCTAAGATGGTGCCAAGAAGGCGGCAATTGTAAAGTATACTCCTGAACTTCTGTACTTGAGTACACATGATGATAAACCTAACTCTAATCCTAATTCTAACTGCAAGTGTCCAACATACCTCATGATCCTTCAGCCAGGGCAGATCCTGCTTTCAGTTGCAGTATTAGCAACACACACAGACACAAATCAAACTAGAAAAGTGTACACTGACCTCTTGGACTGCTACAGTCTATAATCTCTGTGTGCTACTCACGTCACTCACCCAGGAATGCTCATGGCTCAATCACATTGCAATAGAGGAAACTGATTCAGGGTCACCAGAGACATAGCAGTGGGCTACGTAGAGTAAAACTCTCTTTACACTGCTCATTTTCTGGCAACTCATCTCTTGCCAAGACTTTCAGTGGTATCAGTGCCAATGACAGAGGAGAGGCTGTCCCTATCGGAGTCACCTCATGAGGTACCCTACAATGTGGTCAGCAGCTCCTCATTCAGTAGTGCGAGATCCATTAGACCTTCCCTGTTCTCCTGAGAGGGCCCAGAGCTCAAGGCTCCTCGTCGACTTTTGACCTAGTTCTGGGCCTTAGAGCGTGGGACAAGTTGATGGAGAGCAGTTCAGCACACATATCTGGGTGAACAAAACACCCAAGATCAAACACCCAGACCACAAGCTGCAAGTTTTTTTTTCTCTCTCACTGTTGTTTCGGTTTTAGCAACACTGACACACTGATGTTGCAGAGGGAGAGTCTGTCTTAGATTCAGTGGCTGGTCAGGTGGAGTTGTGTTTTTTTTTCCTGTATGAATTCTTTCTTTTAAGCTCCCTTGGTTTTCCTGTCTTTTTCCCACAGATAGAGCGAGACAGTATCCATTTTAAGGATGGCAGCCAGGAAGTGGAGTGTCACAGGGCCAGAATTATTTACAATTTATGTTAATGACTTAGATAATGGAAGTGAATATATTACTGCCAAGTTGAGGATGACACAAAAATAGTGGAGAATCCAAGGTGAGGATGACACAGAGTCCACAGGGGCATATAGACAGGTTTAAGTGAGTGGTCAAAAATCATGGCAAATGGGAATTTTTAAAAATGTATTCATGGGATGTGGGTGTCACTGGCCAGGCCAGCATTTATTGTCCGTCCCAATAACCCACAGGGCAGTTAAGAGTCAACAACATTGCTGTGGGTCTGGAGTCACATGTGGACGAGGCCAAGTGAGGATTGCAGTTTCCTTCCCTTAAGAACATTAGTGAACCAGATGGTTTTTCCAAAAAAAAATGACAATCATCATTAGTCTCTTAATTCCAAATTTTTTTTCCCCAAATTGAATTTAAACTCCACTATGATAGGGTTTGAATCTAGGTCCCCAGTGTGTTAGTGGGATCTCTGGAGTAACAATTGATTGATAGTACCGCTAGGCCATTCCCTCCCCATAGGTGAGGGGACAAAAACAACGTAATGTGGTAACATGTGCGGTCATGCACTCTTGGCAGGAAGAATAGTTGAATATTATTTAAATGAGAAAAGACTACAGAAAATTGTAACATAGAGGGATTTCAGGGTCCTAGTGTATCAATCACAAAAAGCTGACTTACTCTAAAGGGAATGGGGAATAAAAATAGGGAAGTCTTGCTAAAACTGTACAAGGTAGTAGTCAGGCTACACCTAGAATACTGTGAACAGCTTTAGTCTCCTTATCTATGGAAGGAAAAACTGGACTGGAAGCAGCCCAGACAAAGTTCACTAGGTTGTGCCCAGGACTGGAGAGATTTTCTCATGAGGAGAGAGAGAGTAGTTTAGGCTTGTGCTCATTGGAGTTTAGAAGAATGAGAGGAGACATTATTGAAAGACTTGAGAGGGACATTATTTCATATTGTGTGAGAGTCTCAGACCAAAGGGCATGATCTCACAATAAGGGATCATACGTTTAAGGCAGAGGTGAGGAGGATTTTTTTTGGTGGATTACAATATGGCGCTGTTAGCACAACGTGTGCAGACTATAGCACCCTGTAGCTGGAGGAAACCGACAATATTGGAAAACCCCACTGCCAGGACTGCAGCACTGACTTTGTCACGGAGAACAGAGATTAAACAGTTTGATCTTGTATCACTTACATTGGTAAGATCCTCGATATGTGTGGGTTGAGGTTTGTGATACTACACCCCAAATCACTGACAAAATGCAACATTGGATATAGTGTCCCATGTTCTCACATCCTAACAGTTCACTATGTACCCCTGTGCAGCTTGGAATGTGTTTGAGAATTGGTGAACTCTAGTGATATTTTTAAGGCCTATGGTCACTTTTGTTTCTCAGAGATTATTAAGATTTATTTGTCACGATCAATGACATGGTCACATGTCACAATTGTTTTTTGGCCAGGGTCTGGAATGTGTATTGTTGGTTAATGTATGAGCAGCTTTTTGGGGTAATTTAATGGCGAATATGTATTATCGTGGTGTCTACAAATGCCTTATTAATACAATTATCTATAGAAGGGCCTCATATCAACCCACAAGTGTACCTCATCTTGCAGACAAAGCAAACTTGCTTGGCCCACTGTGAGCGTGAGGGCAGCCGTTTCTCTTCCTTATTGCCTAGTTGAGATTTGATGGTGAATGGTACATTATCCGGGTTATGCTCCTGCCAGCGAGCTCCAGTCTCTATGACAAGGTCAAGGTGGCTCCCAACCCTTCACGTACCTTTTCTGTGTCGCTGTCCCTGTCAACCTTATCAGCTTTGATGCTCGCTATATTCCCATCCAACTCCTTTTACTGAATTGTCAATGCCCTTTATTTCCCCACTTCGGTCGCTGGCATATCACATAGCTAGGCCCACTGTGACAAAGCTCCCACTCCATTACGGTTATGAGCCATGGAAGATGGCATGAGAAATGTCATCGTGGTCCTTCAAGAGAAACTGTCCATGAACTTTCCTGAAACAGACTTCCCTAAAATAATAAAGTAATAAACGTCTTTCTTTCTCTCTGAATGGTGAAAACAAGTCAGCAGCAAAACTGTTATTGAAGTAGACTGGACAGACTTGTTTCAACTAACAGCCCACATGACTGGTAGCACAGTGGCTCAGTGGCTAGTACTGCTGCCTCACAGCACCATGGACCCAGGTTTGATTCCACCCTCAGGTGTCTGTGCGGAGTTTGCACATTCTCCACATATCTGTGTGGATTTCCTTGGGCTGTTCCAGTTGCCTCCCACAGTCCAAAGATGTGCGGGTTAGCTGGATTGGCCATGCTAAATTGCCCCATAGTGTCTAGGATGTGCAGGATCAGTCATGGGGAGAAGGAGGGTGGGTCTCTGTGAGGTGCTATCCAGAGAGTTAGTGTGAACTTGATGGGCCAAATGGCCAGCTTCCATGCTGTAGGGATTCTATGACTGTGAAGGTCTGAACTACCAGAATCCTCAACCTTAACAGTTGCAATGTTTTGTAATCTTCAACGAAGATTGATTCATTTTTTTTGTTTTTCTTTTACATTTTGGACTAATTTCCAACCTGCCTGTATGCATGTCATGATTTATTATCTATTATTCCCTTTTAGTAGCTAATAAACTCACTCGCCTTATACTGTAAAAAGTCATGTTTAAATTGACTCCTTTTTAAATATTTGGTCTGGGAATAGGTGTCCATAGGGAAGGGATTCATCTCTAAAACTTAATCTGTTCCAGCAACAAAGTGAGGGGTTCGGTTAAAGGAGAGTCAACTCTTCCCACCACACATAGGAGTATTACCTGTGCAAAGCAGGCTTGAAGGGCTGAATGGCCTATCCTCTCCTATTTTCTACATTTCCATTACATCCAGCATCGTAAAAATTACGAGACCCTCACCTGGGGACCAATTGGAACAATTGTGTCTCCACGCTTTATTGAAAGTCTTTCACAGATGAGGGTGGGATTCAGTGGTCCATGCACTTTTCAGGCACCTTCGCACCCATTATGCCATGACCTGATATATTAATGATACTCCATAACAAATGGGAAACATGAAATGAATAAATATAAATAATGTTTATAAATGAAAACTCAATTGTAACTGGAATCATCATACATAAACCACTAACAGTTAGAATGTGGTTGATTCTTAACTGCCCTCTGGGCAATTAGGGATAGGCAATAAATGCTGGCCTAGCTAGTGATGCCCTCATCCCGTGAGTGAATAAAAAATATTGTGTGCTTCTCAACAATAGTTGACAAACAGTGGCGAGCACTGCCACCTCACAGCGCCAGGGACCCACGTTCAATTCCAGTTTCAAGCGACTGTCTGTGTGGAGCTTGCACATCCTCCCCGTGTCTGTGTGGGTTTCCTCCGGGTGCTCTGGTTTCTGCCCACAGTCCAAAGATGTGCAGGTTAGGTAGTTTGGCCATGCTAAATTGTCTGCAGTGCCCAAGAGTCTGCAGGCTAGGCAGATTAGCCATGGGAAATGCTGGGTTATAGGGATAGGGTAGGGGCTGGATCTGGATGGGATGCTCTTCAGAGGGTCACTGTGGACTCGACGGGCCAAATGGCCTGCTTCCACATTGTAGGGGATCTTATAATTCTATGAACAGTCAGGCCTTCTCCTCGTAGGTAGTAAACTGGAAAGTGGAGTTGAGAATTATCAGATCAGCCATGATCTCATTGAATGTGAATGGGCTGAAATGCCTACTTCTGCTTCTTATGATTTTACGATCTCTTCTAAGGTCAGGATTGCTTATCTGGTTAGCTGGCATTGAGTCCTTTTTTGTTGAAAGTAGCCTTTGTGCATGAGGTGATTTTTTTTTCACTTTGAAGGATGTCCTCCCAGGGGCTACAAGGAAAACTACAAATTCACTAGCAGTCTGTAAAACTTGTGGAAGTTTTTGCTTTGCTGCTGAATTCCTGTCAGCAGAGATGCCAACATATATCACAAGATGTAACTTGGGCAGTCCTTGAACCATAACACACTATGAAGGGCTTTGTTCTGGAAAATCTCCTGGAGTCCCTCCTGATCTGTCACTATTTAGAACCTGCCTCCCATTTTTTTTTGTGAAACACAGGGTAAAGGCAATAATAATCCTGGCAAACATCCTTGGGATCCAAACGGCACCCCATACACGGACTCCCGGAATATATTGGCCGGTAATTCCCAATTTGACATTTCCAGCCTCGGGAAGAAATAAAACCACATGTGAA